ATGCTATTCACATCAAAATATGAGCATTTCATGATGGTCACACGTTTTGAATTGAGGCAAGTGATGTAACTAAAACTAAATTACTAATTGGCTTCTTACTCTTTTCGCAACAGTCGTCAAAGCATCTTGAACAACAAAGATTGCTCGAGATACATTTTCTTTCTGCATCTCTTGGCAATATGTAACAATATCAGCTTTTCTTATAGTCTTCTCAACAGGAAAATATACATACATTTTTTCTGCAAGATAACTGATTGGATTAGAGTCCCTCACATACTATCTCACAATTTATTTTGACAATTTTGAACACTTACCATCATCGTTTGAGTGTGTAAACAACATTGTCAGTTTGGACCGCAAGGGCTTGTCTGAACTAAATAAGACACATGAAAATTATGGATGAAAAATCATGGAGGAAACCTAGATATAGTCGGTCCAGCAATACTTTGGTCTTCGGATCCCACGGCAGCGCCATTGCCGCTTATGGGAGCCGAAGACCAAAGTATTGCTGCGACGACTATAAGAATAGAAACAGTTCTCAGATACTCTACCTTGATTCAGGGTACAATTTCTTAAAGTTATCAAGTGTTTCATCTAACTCTTCTTGAGTTACTAAGTATCCTCGGTCGTGGCACAACTAAAGGAGAAAATGGAAAAGTAGATTCAAGGTTACATTAATAGATAAGTGTGAAATTAAAGTAAATTTTAAAGTTCTCCCTAACAAATAAACCCTATTTCTATCCAGATAGCACCCATAAAGTAGAAAAAGTCATCATTATAAAGGTTATGACACCCACTGAACAAATTACATTTCATGATTTTACGAGGAAGACGTTCAGTTTAATCATAAAAAATATTACCTGAAGAATGGTTTTTTTCACTCTCCATAGCTTCCGATACTCAGCTTCTTCAGTCATGGCTAAAACTGAGTAAAGAGCAATATTTCAAATGTCCACGTGAGAAAGCAAGTAGAATGTTTACTGTAGAGGTGTGTGTTTACAACAGACAGCAGACGGCAGCGGAAGACAGACGGACAGAACAAATGACAGGTGATGATGACTTCAAGAAGTTGTTTGTTTCCCCGCCTCCAACCGCAGCGCTAGTGCACAGGACAGGCAGGCACAACACAGTGCTAGGTCCACTTTTAGAAGTTGAAGTTTGAGCTTTATGAAATCTTGTATAGGTTTTAGAGATTTTTTAGATCTGACAGTGCTATTACTTGAAACCTTCCGTTTCTGACTAACCAGCAGAGAGCATATGTCAAGCCTGAGCCAATGTCAAAGCTACATTATAGGCAATTTTGCATTTTAAACTTGTAGTTTTCATTGAACTCATAATTATGACACACTGTGCTGTTCCCGCAGTGTCAACAATTTTAAAATTTGGACTTTTGAACAGGCGTCCGCTTTGTGCTCGAACATTTTGCTCTGATAAAATATCTTATGTCCAGGGTCAAGAACCTGAAAAGGGGGTTCGTGAATATTTCTATTACATTGATCATCAGGGGATGGTAAGAAATTTGTCACTGTTGTTACTTGTATCCTTCAATTCGTTTTCATTCTTCAAACAAAACAAAATAATTTGACTTGTCCCTCGATTTCTTAGTTATTCCTCGACGACTCAAAGATAAAGAACTTCACATCATGCTTTAAGGGTAAGACAAGTTGCTTTTACTTCAAGTGTTTGGATTATTTTCCCATTAACATCTGATTCTAATTGGTTAATTTTTTTGTTCAGAGAAAAAGTTTCTCACCTTCTTCTTCAGAAGGCTTAAGAAGAACAACCTTGGTAGATATGAAGAACACTTTCCTTTCTGGTCAGATTGTGGGAAGGAAAGGAATTTTGTCAGGGGTGACGATGTTCCCATTGTGTACACACACATTGCAAAGAAGATACCTCGAGGAGCATCAGAAGAAGAGGAGCACATGTGTTATGGACATGTGGGTGATGTGCTAAGTTTCAAATTTTCCCCTGAAAATATTTACATGGCAGAAACGGGGCGAGTATACCATCCTGGACCTCCGAATACAGGTTCTGTAGGCTTGATCAGTTCCAAACTTGCCATTGAACTGAGTAAAAACTTTCTATTTGAAGGGGAAAATACACAGTGTCCATCACATTTTGTTTGGAATAATACTGTACACAAGCTTGACCCTAGCTGGGTTAAAAATGTAACAATCAAGAGAGATTTCAAGACTTAGATTCATGTATAAAACACAATAAACTAATAATTTCATTTTTGTACTGAAAAAAGACAAAAGTACCCATGTGTATAAGTACCTGAACTATAACTTTGTCAATTAATGAGTTGTGAATGGATGTAAATAAAAAGCTTGTGAACATTAGTTTCTTTTAAAAGTCTATAATTAAGTCATTGGTCCTTCATAGTGATCCAGCAGCTCAGTTTTCTTGTGCGCTTACACTTTTCCCTACACAAAGGTCATAAATTAGGGAAAGGATAAAATTTCCATTCCAATGATAGTGAAACACATTCAGTAGAGGAGTTCTTTTCCATTCAGCAGAATAAGCAAATTTGATCAGTTATCAAGTTGATTACAGTATAAGCACACAAACTGCATGCACCATTCTAAAATAAACAGTCACTATGTTAAAATATTTGGGGACTCTCTATGGCAGCAATTACACAAGACAAAAGTAATTATGGTTGACCACAATTCATAATAAACATACAATAAAAATTGGGAGGCAGAGAAAAGGTGACATACTTCCTCCTTTGTCTATATACACATAAATAATAAATACAGCAGATAAAATTACTGGTCAAAGTGCAAAACGAATCCTATAACAAGTAAAATATAACTCTGAATTAAGCAAATAATACGTTTCAAAATAATGACATGGCTAAAATTCAATACCATACAAAAAATATAGAGGTAAAATACTTTCCTAGGATTTGGGGGTAAAATCAGTACTGTACAAAACAATGAAATTAAAAAGTAATAACAACCAACAATGTATATCACAAGAAATGAGCCGGAAAATCACGAACTGGGCTTTGAAAATGGCTCCAAAGATCCTGGTTGAACCCATGACAATCCGAGTGAGTTTGGGCTTCCATTATTTCTCTGAAAATAGTAAACGTCAGCTTGAACAAAACATACAAAAACACAAAACTACACAAAAACTTTCATTGACCAGATAAGGTTAATCATGAGAAAAAAAAAGAAAACAAAGTTATAGTACCTGTGGATGAAGAATAGATTCTCGAACAGGATCATGTTTTTCTTTATCATATGGATCAAATCTTAAATAATGAGGATCATCCACAGGTGGCGGATCATAGAGATGGTCTTGGCTATTCTTCACACATAATTTCAGTTTTTCAGAAAAAAGCTCTGGATTGCTTTTAAACCTGAAATATTTAAGTTGTTTGAATCATAATGACAAAAGAAAAGAACAAAATAAAATGAAAATATTTTTGTTTTACATTTCACTGCATTCTTCATTTACAGGCTCCTTCACATCCAGCATGTAGAATGCTGTGCGCATGTACTCTAGAACCTGCCATAAATGATGGAAACCTTTCCTCCATTCTGGAAATTCGCGTTTGACATTCATCTCTCCTGATTTCATGTCAACTTGTGGGTGAAACATAGGTGACTGGAAAGTTATGCGCTGCAGGATGGAGTATGAATTAGTACATGTAAAACAGAATACAGAAGTAATTTAAAAATAAAGCTACTCACTGGTGGACTTTTAGTCTCTGGAAAATTTTCAGGGACAGACAAAGTGAAACGAAATACACCTCCTTGATACATGCCTTGCCGGACAAAAAGAACTCCAAACCACACTGAAAAAAATTATTACATAACAAAACAGAACCAGTTATCCTGATAATATGGAAATGTTGAGATTGCTCAGAAAATATGTAACTTACAGAGAGATGATTTCGCTGATGGAATAACATAAACACCGGGAATACTTTGTTCACGAACCATGCCACTAGAAATAAAACACTTCATGAATCGGTTGATTTCCTGACTGATCAAGAAGTCTACAGCTGGTTCATAGAAACCAGAAATGAATTAAAAAACATTATTCTTTATTCTCTACATACTATTCAGCAATGATGCTATATTCCTGAAGGTAAGAGCTGTATGCTCTGTTGACATTTCTGTTTGACACTGCAGGGCGGTCTATCATCTTCGCTGACAGGCTCATTGGACCTTCACTGCTGGGATTGGGGGGCAAAACCTTCCTTAGTGACCCCTGTCGTTTGAAAGGTTCAGCTTCCTCCCCATTGAAATCCCCCTGAGATAAAAGATATGTTTAAAAACAAAACAGAAGAAACAGGTCTTATCATTCTCAACGATAAGCAGAAAAAGAGGTTATAAGCAGAAAAACAAATCAGTTAATCGTGAATGAGTATCATTTGCGCCAGGTACTTACCGACTTTTCAATCATGTCTATCGAAATCAATGTGGTGTTACTGGAAAACTGATTGCTGACAGCAATGATTACAATTACTTAATTTATCCGAAGCAGTTAGTCCAGCATGACTGGCCATAACTTGTCAATACTGTATTCACCCTCAGGTTTCGTACGAATAGCGAGACGGGACGGACGGGGCCGACAGACAGTAGTAGTAGTGGATTGGACCCGCAGACCGATCAAATATCTCGGCCCCAGTTTATTTTTGCGTCAAAAATTTGAATACCAGTGATCAGTAGTCACACTGGTGTTGATAGCCCTCATAGTGACACCGAGCTAAAACAATACCTTGTAGTATCTACTAGGACTTCCCCGTTCTGCTCATGTCGAACTCGAATGGGAAATAAGCTCTGCTTAGGTTTTGAAGGAAAAGAATGTAACTTTTTGATTAAACAAATTTATTATTGGTTTCCTAATAGCTAAGACAGTTTCAATCACCCAACACAACATTCACAATAACACCAAGAGCTCTAGCGCAGACTCAGTCAAAGTAGTCTTCGACGTCGACGTGTGGATTAAGGAGGTCTTCCCCGAGGTGCGACACATCCACCTGATCCAGGATCAGGTTTTCGAACGTCTCCTCCAGGTCTGTATCGCCGATCAGGACAGCCCCTTGGACCCGGCCGTGCTGCAGCACCAGCTTGACGTACTCTTTGCCCTTGACGGCGCGTAGCATCATTTCCCAGTCGCCGCCCTCGAGCTTCTGCCCGTTGTGCAGCCCCAGGAGCACGACTTTGTGGCCAAAGAAGCGCGTCACGTGCGTGAACATCTCGAAGCAGAAGTCCTGGAGGAGATGCTCACCCTCGGCTTCGGCCGACATGCAGCGGGCCGCGTACGTGCCCATCTGACGCGCCTGCGTCCACAGGCGCATCTGGAACCAGTGCTTGGCGTGCGTCCAGCCCGCCGTGCACGCGTCCCCGGCCGCGAACACGCCGGGGACGCTGGACCGCATGTGCTCGTCCACCAGGATGCCACCGTCGTCCTCGGCCAGGCGCAGCCCGGGGTTGTCGCGGGCGAACGCCTCCACGTTGGGCACCACACCCGTGGCGGACACCACCAGGTCGGCGGCGACGGTTGTGCCGTTGGACAGCTCGACGTACGCCGGCCAGGAGTCGTCCCCGGCGCGCACCTGCACCACCTCGCAGCCGTACTCGACGTGGAGGAGGCGCCCGCCGTGGCGCCCCCGCAGCTCCCAGCGAGCGTGCCAGTCGGGGCCCAGGGCCGCGCCGCCGCCGGGGGCCTCGGCCGCGGCCGTCTGCGCCTCTGTGAAGCGCATCCGCTTCACCGCGGGGCGAGAGGCGTGCTCGGGCTCCTCGACGCCGTCGGCGCCCTCCTTGGCGGCTGGCAGCAAAAACTCGCCCGCACCCGCGTCTACGAACGCCGCGGATATGTGGTCATGGCGCACAGCCCACACCACCTCCACGTCGCGCAGCTCGTGCACCAGTTCCGTGGCGATGCCGCCGTTGCCGACGACGAGTACCCTGCGCGCGCCCGCCACCCGGGCCTGCAGGGTGCGCACGGACTCTGTGTCGCGCACGGTCAGCACCAGGGGATGATCCGCGAGGATCGGCTTCGGGCGCGCGCCAGAACACACGCACAGGCGTCCGTAGGCAACGCGTCGGCCCGACTCCGTCACCAGGACACCCTGACCCCCTTCCCCGGGGTGCAGCGCGACCACAGCGTCCTGGACCACCCGCACCGTGGGGCATCGCTGCGTCAGGGCCTCGGCGGACTGCTCCTCCACCTCGAACTTGACAAGGTACTTGGTGAGCGGCTGCACATTCGTGGCGGCCTTGATGAGCGAGGAGGCGGACAAGAGGAGCACGTCGTCCTGAGGACGCAGGACGGCCAGGGCTTCGGCGCAAGACACTCCCGCGATGCCCCCTCCCACCACGACGAAGGCCGCACTCAGCCTCTCGGAGTCTCCGCCACTTGACATGCTCTAGCTGGGCGTCGGTGTCGTTGAGAATGACGTAATTACTGTGTTTTAGGTTTGAAATCGTCGTAATTGTACCGCCGGAAAGGAACGTCGTATGTCAGCAGACCCTGGTCGCGCGCGCGGAGGATGCTCACAACCAGAGTGTCATGCTGACGACGGCAAATGCTTGTCACACTGCAGGTAAAGAATTGATCGTAATGTATTAGTCATGGAAAACCTTGACTAAGCAGGTCAAGTTATTTTTTAAGTCAGGAATATACTCACTTGTAATGTAAAATCTCTCCTGTAAAAGGACTGATAAACTGCTTCAGAAGATCAACATTTGTTTCATGAAGCACAAGGTATTCATCTCGACAAATGGGACAAGGGTTGCCAGTTACTATTTTGTCTTGCTTCTAAAAATCAAAAATATGAAGAAACATTTTAACTTATGCCCAAACGAATAAGAATAATTTCTTATTTTGGTAGATAGATAATATTTGAGCTCACAATGCAAGTCCTTCTAGTCGTTTTGGGTGGTAGGTGCCCTTTCAAATTTCGTCTATAAGGCACCCACACAGGTTCATTACCATAAGTTCCGTGGTAAGCTAGAATTAATGTAAATATATTGATGTATAAAAATTAAAATTAAAGCAACGCTAGTTTATTGGAAAGGGCACACAGTATGAAAAACACATTCTTACCTCTACTTTTTAGATATCGGATACTAGTCTCAACTGGGATCTTAACACTTCTGTCTTTTGGATCAATCTCTTTCTCACTTGAGGCCTCCGAAGTGCTGCAGAACCGATTGAATACCTATCAAAATACACAAGAATAGATATTTATAGATGAGATTGATAATAAGAGAACACAAATAACTAGTAATATACATAATCTACATAAAATTAACAGTGATCAGGACTGGATACATATTGAAAACGTTACTATTGGTACTCAAAATATAATGCACATATTCGATAACCTCAACGCCTCGACTAGGCACACAAACCTTGTTATTAATTCCAAGGATCAATCTACTTGAAGGATATTTCAGATTATTGCTGATGGTCAAATTTCGGAGAACTCTGAATACCGCCAGGCCAGACGTCATCTTTCTTTGGTATTTTTCAATTCCCTTTCATCAAAAATTACCTAAACATGCCGCCTTGTCGATTGATAAGCCGTCTGCTGTCTGTCTGCGAGGCGAGGAGCCGAAGTCTGGTTCTTGAAAACGCCACGAGAGCGCGCTCAGACCGTCTCTCGTCAATCTGGATGTGTGGTGAACATTGTGATTTCCCCGTGCAAATTCGGTTTGGTTACTCCACATTTTAGAAAGGTAATTGTTTTTTACAAGATAAAAAAAAAATCGCCCTTTACCGATTTACATTGGACAATCGCAATTAATTTGTATGTTAATGAATTCGTGAGACAATGGACTCGTCTCATGATGAGTTCTTGTAAATTCTTGTTATTTCTGCTGGTCTGAACTGGCGATATGGTGTAATAGTCCCATTAATTATTTTTCAGATCAAATACTGTTCTAATTGCACAATAGACCTGTCATAAAAGATAATTTTTTTAAAGCAAGTTTTTGACCCTATTGTTACTACACCATACTGAATTTTTGTGCCAATCCATGGCCTTCCCTAGAACTCACGTACGTCAAGTGTTTCAGCTTCTTAAGAAGCAGTTCTGATACGTTAAGTCAAGTCCTTTACTGATACAATTATCCACCCAGTCATAACAGTATTCTGTAAGGCATATCAAAGGAGACAAAATAAGAGAAAATGGCAAAAAATTTTGTATATTCAACTAAATTTGAGAGGGTACAATTTAGAGGCAGCATAACAATCTCAGGGTTGTGAGGTAATACATGACATCCAGGAAGGTTGATTAAATAATGATGCTTGCCAAATTCTGGTTACTTCCATAAATAACCAGCATCAAATAGGAACAATACCATATTACTCATAGAGTAAAAGTCTAAGCAATTTCTCCCCAAAATGTTCTACTTCAAAACACCGATGGAGAAAAAGTGCTTATTGTTCAGGCTCTTGGCAGATGAAAACCCTTTTTCATACCACTGAAAAGGGTACAATTGTGTTGTCCTCCACAATGCAGATGTGAAGAGGAACACCCAGGAATAAAACATGCCCAACTAGAGTAGCATTCTGCACAGAGGGATGATAATCACAGGCACATGCATTCATGGTCCTCTTTGCACTACAAAACTGCCTTACATGCCACGCATACACTCAACAAGTCTTGCTTGACAGCATCCAACAACAATTTGAAGGAGAAAAAAAAGTCTTCACAGATCACAATGCAATTAACATACAAACAAAAGAATGAGCATAAAATTTGCTGGAATCCAAACTCCATGTTAATTTTTTTCCATGTAAAACCTAGGCAACTGCTTTTACTGCGGACTGCTGGGTTAACAAAATTTAGATCACTGAGAAAGACAAGTTCATGAAGTTGTAGCAACAAATACTCTCACAACAACTTTGGAACTAACAAATATTTTGAAGAGGGATGATTTTTTTTTAATTTGTGCCATTTCTGACCTATCACTCTTACCCCTAGCATTAACAAGACTAAAACAACAGCTAGGAGGAGGAGTGAACAATGACACTGATTCAATTGAACTAATGGCTGCATGAACTCATACAACCTATCTCAGGCATAGTTATGATCTTCATATAACCTTGTTCTCATGCTTTTAAAACCCTTTTTTTTTTTTAAATTACTCATAAGTTATTACTTTCTTTTTTGCTACTTAGACCGCATCCCATCATTGGCTATGCGGCAATATCACCATTTGTTGATGTTGGTTCCCTAGAACAATAAAATAAGTATTGAATTTTAAACCGTATAAAACAAAGACTTAGATACCAAGAGTGAAGACAAAATGCTTACCTGGATGTTGTTGCTGATGATGTAAATATTGAGGTACCATTTGAGGGTGATGTGGATGTTGGGGGGCCATCTGTTGGCCCGGGATGCACATGAAGGGGATGGTGTGGTGCGACGGGTGTTGGTGAGGGTGGTGTGTCGGCGGAGGGTACGCGTTGGGGGGCGGCGCCGCGGGGGAGGGTGGGTGTGACTGGGCCTGTTGCTGCCCAGACTGCTGCACGGCCCCCGAGCCGGACTGCTGCGGGGGCGGGCCGTGGTGGGCGTGGGCGGCGGGGTGGGGCGAGTGCGGATGGGGCTGCTGTGCGATGTACTGCGCAATGTGGGACTGGTGCGCGGCGTGCTGGTGGGACTGGTGGGCGTGAGGGTGTTGGGGGTGCACGGCGAGGGGGGGCTGTTGGTGGGCGTGGGGCGCGCCCGGCGAGTCGTGGTGGTACTGAGGAAGGGCATTCAGAGGCACCTGCTGAGCTACCATTCGCACCATCTGCTATAAAGGAGAGAAACGAGTCAGTCATTCACATTGCGTCAAGCAGAGACAGTCATGCAGAGGCACGGATTAAGGTGGGGTAAAGACGTACCGGTTGGTAGGGCTGAGGTGAGTATGGCATGGAGAAGTGCCCATGCATGGGAGCAGGTGCCAGAAGTGGAGTTCCTGTAACATTAGCCACTTGGGCAATATCCGGCCGGTGCTGCATACTCATTTGCACTAGAAAGAAAATAGAGGAGGAACATGTTACTGATACCCTAACATAAACAGAAAATCCAATGAAGATTGTGCAAATAAAAGCACATACTTTTACCAAAGCGCGGGTTGCGAGGATTGGGAGTATTGAATTGTGGGTTATTAGTAACAACATAAGCTTGCATGCCCATGGGGGGGACTTGAGGTCCTTGCTGTTGTTGCTGTGATACTGGAGGCTGTGGATAGCTAGGAGTTTGAGGTGTATGAGGTCGGCTTGGTGTGGGAGTACTCGGAGAGCGCTGAAAATTAACAAGATAAAATGTGTTTATCAACAGTTGAAATTGAAAGCTATTAAAAGATAATACCTCAAGTTTAACTTACAGGTGTGAATGGTTTAGCATTGGGGTTGTATACAAATTCCTTGGCATTTGGATTAAGGGTTGATTTCTTTAGAGTTGATGATAGTTTCTCGACATCCTGCCCACTTTCTTTTCCACTTTTAGGAGTGGTCCTATCAGCCTCATTGGGGGTCCCAGAGGGTGGGGGTTGAGGCGTTGTGGCTGTCGGAGTACTAACGGGGGCTGCTGCCTGTGCCTGAGGAGGGGTCTGCTGAGTTTGAACTTGACCGGATGCTCCAGGTGAGGTCGACTGAACCTTGTTCTTTCCGTCTTCAGACTCCCCAAGCTTGAAATCAGAGCTGAATTTTTTCAGTTCTGAAACTTGGTCATCACGACCTAGAATAAACAGAGAATTTTTTGAGTGGTTTCAAAGGATTAAATAATACGAAACCTCTAAATTAGCTAGGTGGCCATTGCATTCATACCTCTTCCTTTCCTTTGTTGCCCATCAGCGGTCTGTTTGTCGGACTGATCCCTCGGCTCGCGGGGCTTGCTCGGCTCTCGGGGCTCCCGCTCCCGGTGCTCCTTGGCCTGGGAGGGCGGGGTGCGCGAAGGCTGCGGGCCTGCGGGGACCCCAGGGCCAGCCATGTGCTGGTGGCCTCCCGGCGCCCCGTGACCGTGCCCAGCGCCGTGACCGTGGCCAGGCTTGCCGTCGCCGGCCATCTGCTCCCCCTGACCCGGACTGGGGCCCTGGCCAGGGGAGTAGCGGGGGCCCATGTCGGGGGGCATGTGGTAGCCACGGTTTGGACCTAAACAGACAGAAGCTAATGTATTCCTGTCATCATGTTCCACTTAACCTGAATAGAAGCGGAAAGAAACACCTACCACCTCGACCAGACACGGGCGGTCGCTGTCCTCTAGGCTCCATGCCATTGACCTTGTGCTCTCTCTGAGGGAGAGGAGGTTGGCCTGGGTAGCCACCCTGCGGTGAGGGTGTCATTGGGTACACATTATCTACACGCTGTGGCACTTGTGCTGGATACGCAGGTTGGCCATATGCTACCACTGCTGGACTACCCTGAGGGTATTGAGCGACAACTTGTGCAGGTGGAGGGTAGTGGGGAGAATGATGGAAGGGCGGATACTGTTTGGGCCCTTGTGCTGAAGCTGGGATTTGTCCAGGGGGTCCTTGAGCGCCTTGCGGTACTGGCACTTGTTGCACTTGGGCAACCTGCACGACCTGGACAGGCTGCACCTGTATTGGTGGCCCTTGAGGCACAGGATGAGGTTGAGGCCCCTGATGAACAGGAGCAACAGCACCCTGAGGTGGTCTCTGTGGCCCAGATTCACCATCTCGGCGGTCTACCCTTTCCCTGTCTCGCTCTCTTCTGTCTTCTCTCTCTCTCCTTTCATCCCTATCCCTCCTATCCTCTCTGTCTCTGCGGTCATCCCTATCTCTGTCCCGTTCTCGGTCTCTCTCTCTTTCCTGAGAACTCTGGTTTGGAGCTGGTGATTGGGCAGGGCGAGAGAGTTTCCCTGTTTGAGGGTTCTTCCTTTTGGCAGGAGGAACATATTTTCCTTCTGTGCTAGGACTTGATGAACCTTCACCAGTACGAGACACGGCTGCAAACCTTTCCTCTTCATCTCCATTTTCAAGGTCGATGCGAGCTTTGTAATTGGGATTGTTTTCAATCTCATTAGCTAGCAGTGCAGCTTTTGCTTCTATCTCCCTGTAAATGAAGAGTAGTTTACCATGTGACATATTCGATCATCTAGTGCAATGCCATAATAGAAACTATAAGGAATTGATGTCAACATACCTATATTCTTTACTGTCTGATTTCTGTAATGGAATTGTGTATCCAACTAAGTTTTGATCAAAATTGGTTTGAACTCCATAAATCTGTTCATTTTTCCTGAACATATCGTGTGCGTCCCATCCATTCTAAATCCAAAAGTAAAACGTAAAATTAGAAAGGGAAATTATGCAGAAAAGGCTAAGAAAAGTAAGGGCAACTCACAGCATCACCAGTCATTTCAAGAGACAAGTCATCGCCATTCATACTAGGTCCATCCCATGGTTCAAGTTCTCTTTCAGTAACTTGACCATTAAATTTACTGATAGCAGTGTCTGTCTGGAATGTGTCTACAAAACAGGAAAACAGTGCAGAAGTAAATAATAACAATATTAATAATTGAAGGGGACTTGGACAAGATACTTACCTCTTGTTGCATACTCCAAATCTACATCCTTTACTTCAATATTTACTATGTCACTTGGTCTAAATATTAGTTTATCAACAACACTTTCAGGTCTTATTTTTGAGCTATCATTAGGATCCACTTGATGTGCTAGTTCCAATACTATTTCTAAATTACAAGAAAATGTTCTCAGAACACCTTCAAAGACAGAGCCATTCTGGGTCTGAACCTGCAAGTCAAGAATTTATGGGTCAGTTCCCACAAAAGAAACTTAATATCTACATGATACAAACACCAAAAGAATATCATTCACAGCAATATCTTACCTGAACTGTATTACCAATGTGACATGTAATGGCATACATAAAATGTGCATTATTGTAAATGCCTTCTGCAATAATAGTTCTTTCCGGTCGAGCCCTAGTAGACCTAAAAGACCAAACAAAAAGTAAATTAGCAAAGACTATCTAAACAGTCGAGTACGCTTACAAGAGGAACATAGCAGTATCCATACATGATAAATTGGGGGG